TCTGCGATTCTCCGGGAAGCTACCGTTGATTTATCGGGCAACGGCGGTGGATTGACCGTGGCTCGCGATGATGACAGGGATGGCTTTCGCGGGGGGGGGGGGGGGTTATGAAATTTTAAAAGGCAATTTGGAAACTTTTTTTCGGATTGTTCGGATTTATTTTGATGTGCTAATGCAGCATAGTCTACGTGCCAACGAAGGTCAGGGAAGGAGGGCGCGTGACAAAATCAAGCGATGCCACGTTTTCGTATAAATCCAAAAAAAACATTCGCTCCGGATAATCCAAAATTTTATTTCTAGGCCCTAATTTTCAGACCCTTTTCATTCGGATTTATCCGAAATTTGGTGCGTATCCAAATAAAATAATAAATGTTGAACTTTTTTCGCGCCGTACAAAGCCAACCATGCTAATCGGAGGTACAGTACATTAAAATAACACATGTATAACAATACTAATAAGTGTACACGTCCAGCCCTTTTGTCAATCAACTGCTAGATGAAGGCCTCCCCACGCCGTGCGGGTCGTGGGGGATGTGATTTCACAGCGCATTGCAGAGACCCTTTTCTGGAACAGGACCCAACCGTTCAGAGTTCCTGTTCAACCAAAAATCCGCTCGCCGTCTTCCTCGTCACCGGGGATGACATTCTTTTTCGAATGGCTAACCGTTCCCGAGTTTTTAAGCCACGATCGATCACACGTCTGCTCAAGACCTTGAAAGTAATAAAAAAAAATAACCTTCGGGGTGAGGTTCAGACCCAAAATATATATATAACAAACACGGAGACAAAGAAACTATTAATTTCCACGACCTGGTGCACCCATTGATCTCTGGACTGTTAGACCTGGACCCTTCCCGGCCACTGCCGTGCACATACACACAGACTGCAATCACAATTGCAAGAGAAAGCACTCGCTCCAGCACACACACTCACGCGCGTTAAAACAAAGACAAAGATCCCCCGTATAGCCTTAACAGACTGTTGGGGCAAGGCCAGCACGGCACATCACACCCGCCGCCTTTGTCTCTCCAGTGGCGATGTTTACACCCAGGTACTCAGATATTCGTCACCGATGTTGGCCATTGAGCGGGAATCGAACTCGGGTGACCGGGTTCCGCCAAGCTACCGCTCCCCACGGCACGCACACACACACACGCACACACACGCACACACACGCACACACACGCACACACGCACACACACGCACACACCAAGGGAGTTCAGCGGTGAGGGCCTGGCGCTGTGAACACGGCAACTGAATTGCAGCTCGTAGTGGAGAATCTGAGTGGGTTGCTCGGTGAGGTCCAGGGTGCAGGTGTGAGAGCAATGAGCTGTCAACCTGGATTTTATGAGTTCAAGTTCAGGTTTCTGCTTGCCTATCTCTCGCTCGCTCTTTCTCTCACTACCTCTCTCTCTCTCGAGTTTGTTCTCACGCTTGCTATTTGTCCCTTTCTCTCTCTCTCGCTTGTTATCTCCAGCCTCTTCTTGCTCGCTCTCTGACTCACTTTCTCTCTTGCTCACTTTTCTCACTCTCACACTCACTCACTCTCTCTCTCTGGCTCTTGCTCTGTCTCGCTCGGTCACTCGCTCTGTCCCACTCTCTGTTGCTCTCTCAGGAGGTTCGCCTTACTGGATTCGGAGCAATGAGCCAGCAACCACTGAAAAGTCAGGATGGAATCCACGCAGATGTCCTTGATTAAACCAGGTTGTGTTGTAGTTTGCAGACTTGGGGGTTAATTACACTCGTAATAGTTGCATTTGTTATAAATTGCAGTCACCGTCATCGTCGTCATCAGCCGTGGTCAATCCACTGCTGGATGAAGGCCCTCTCCACGCCGCTGCCATCTCTCACGATTCTTTCTGCGGCGTCGCAACAATTGTGACTGTAATTGGAGCCCGCAATTGCTGGCCACCGCTGTACAAATTGTAATTTTGTTTTTATCACGGAATCCCATGTCCGACAAGTACGCATGGAAACGACGCGTCGAATCGCCGACTAAAATCCATTCCAGTGTTGACGTTGCGCAACTTTGGATTGCGTGCGCGAGCATCCTAATCCGGTGTTGGTGGTGGTTCTGCACGTCTCGTGGAAGGGAAGTTGTTGTTGTTGTTGACCGTGCGCAAGGTTTCATGGAGCGAACGAAACTTACAGGGGACGAGAGATGGGGAAAACCACGAGACGTCATAAAAAAAGTCTTAAATCTCGTTTACACATCCGGTCACGGTCCAGAATTCGTAACAAATTCATCGGATATCTGGGCGGTTGTGTGACTTTTTATATTTCTAAAAGGCGGAATTGCAGTGGCGGTTCGATGGTCTCAGCATGGTCACCAATGACTCTCAGACAACGGGGGGTTACCGTGAAGTTCATTTGAATTAACATATTTTGATTTGTCCAAGGGGAGTAAGTGTAATTCATATTCGATCTTCCAAACCCCAATATTTTGTTCTAACTGCCACGCCTTGCATCGGTGTACTGCGATGTTACGCCATTGTTGTTCGCAGCAGCGTGCTGATAAGCTCTGCATGTGATTGGATGACATTAGTCACGTGCTCTGTCTGATTTAAGAGTTGCCTGTGATTGGATGGAATCCATCACATGCTCTGTTCGCTTTGTGCGTCATGTTCGTAGCAGCGTGCGGATTCGCCTCCTCGCCTGCTGTTGATTCCATCGAACGAGTCGTGTTCTTTGATTTGTGTTGTTATTTTTGTTTACAGTAGCCTGCTGATGTCGAGTTAGCGGCGATTGAACGGAGTCCATAATGGGTATATTTTAACCGTGTGTCTTTCTCTCATTCGCTGTCCTAATTTGTTCGTAAAAGCTTCAACAGTTTGTTTTTATCACGATCGTGCAATGGATGCGATAGTCGGAAGGGCGTTATCAAGCCTGTTGATTTCACCCACAAATATATATTGTGTAAAGCAGCACTCTTTTGAACTAAATCGTTCAATGGAAACCCGGTAAGATGCAATTAAAAACTATTTCGCACAATTCAGCCAGGAATAAAACGCGAATTGCTTGAGAAAGAACACAGCGAAACCACTCCGACAGTACTAGACGTTGGAGAGAAAGTCTTAAGTCTGGCTTTGAGTGCAGTGGATTAGCAAAGTGGCGTGTGTTGAAGTGCGTTGGGGCTTGCAACAAAGCCTTGCGTCGTTCTAGGTGATCTCCAGCAGTGCAAATCGGATATAATTGAAGAGGCTAGTTGTATCTTCATTTGTTGTAAAGAAATTGAAGTTGGTGTGCACCAACGGCGATTGTGTGTGTGTGTGTTTAGATCGAGTGCGTGTGTGCGCTGTAGGTTGTAAGAGGATTTTTTTATTGAAACTCGCAAATCAACCACGAAGATGCGCGATTGCCCCACCACATCCACGCAATTAAAAGGGGCAGCCACGCGAGAGATTTGTTTTTATTTCCCGGTTAATTTTTTTTTCTAATAAATGAGTCCGGATGCCTCCTGTGGGCATGCAACAGGCAATCGGAAGCTACGCTTGCTGCTGCTGCTGCTGTGCTTGCTGCTGGAGACACACAGGAGGCAAGGCGAGATCATAACCCAGAATCAGAATATGCATTTATACTGCAGGAATCAGATGAGCTATAATGCTCTTTTTTTAGAGATGTCCAGTAGGGGCACGGGGTAAGAACGTCACAAGAACAAACAATAGAAAAACACGATAGTGATGCAAAGTACAGGAAAGGTAAACAAACCATCCAAAACACACATATAGATACAACTAAACCATCCCCATCCTGCCAGGCAAAGCCCACTGAGGTATCAACTTATTTTTCAGAAGCGACCACAAATGATAGCTCAACAAAGTGGCACCATCATTCGGACATTAAACCACCAATAATCTCAATAATCTCAAAGAACGTTTCCAACTCATTACCCACTAAAAAAAAAAATTAACCCGTAAAAACAAAGTTTTTCACTATAGATCCTTTATATGCGTGGCATCGGTTTTATTTTATTATTCATTTCTGTTTTTCTTGATTAAGAGTTTCATTTTTATCACATTGGTATTTTAAATTAAATATTTTTTTAAAAATTCCTAAAAAGTGGAAAATTTTGGAATTTTTTTTTCACGAAAATAAATTGTCACGCACAACGAGTCTGTGTGCAAAATGTCAGCTCGATTGTATCACGGGAAGTGGGTTAAAAAACGACCGAAAGATTTGCACGGTCGTAAGCGCGCAAGCAAGCAAGCAAGTGAACTTAATATAAAGGATTTAAAAACCCTCCAACCACCTCTTACCCCAAAGCTGGATCACCAACTATGTTGGGGGGGGGGGGAGGAAGAGCAAAAAAAAAACCCGATTCTCGGTCCGTGCCTCGTGTTGTCCAGCACCGCGCCCGACGTTTCGCGCCGAGCATTCCTCTCGGCTCCTGAAGGAAGGTGCCCAACACGCAGCGGAGGGGAATCCTCGGGCGTTGTGCCCGAGCAACGTGGGGCACGAGACGGGCAGAAACGCACCCTTGGAGAGCCACCGCGCGGTCATAACGCCGCGCCGTTGTTCGTGAAACGTCGCGGCTCGGTCCTGCCAATGACTCCACGTGGCTATCTCCTCACCTCCCATGAGCCCCCCCCCCCCCCCCCCCCGCTAATGTGGCAAGCAGATGGAAGCACAGTAATGGAATTCTTCAACGTATCCGTGCGTGGCTTTAGGTGTTACTCCCTCATATGCGCTGGCTTTCTCCGGATAATTTGCTTTCTTCCTACGAGACATACATTCATAATTCCACTCCTACAAAAAAAGGTGGTGCTTAAAATTCAGCGAGGCTTTCCTGAATGTATTTCCTGAAGAAGCTTCCGGAACCTGGAGCGGAACGTCGGACAACACGCCGGAGTGCCGTCTAGCGTAGCTGCGACATCCTACGTATAAAAGGCCTCGTCGTAATTTTCGTCTGCGCAGCGCACACAATAATTCACGCGTGAACACTTCGCTTTGACTCATCCGCTCATGGCCACTGTCTCTTTGTCACCTCCCACAATCCCAGATCACAGACGACGTGGTGGTCTCTTCAGCCGAGTGTCCCTCTGACGACGAGGACCTTGAAGAGTGTCAGCCCAGCTCAGGTGAGACGTGAACTACCTCGCCTGATTTCCCTTTCTACCCCGCCACCACTTTTGTTCCCTTCATTTTCGCTCCTCTCCCTTGGCCTTCCCTTCCCCATGTTAAAGAAAAAACACAACTACGCTCTCACTCACGGTCCCTGCGTGAGTGGGGCAGAGAGGCCAACCCCCCCCCCCTTCCCAGAACCCAGGAGCACTGAGTTCCGTCTTTGTTCTGTGACATTTCTGTACTCTCCCCCCCCCCTCCACCACCACAACTTTGTTACGGTTTGTGACTTGCACCGCGTTCTTGTCAAAGTTTTACACTTAAAAAAAACGACCTCGACTGGTATGAAGGAGGTCGTGGGTTCGAGCACGGTGCTGACGCCTGATTAAGCGTTTCTCTCTCCCCGTGGACACGTGCCCCGGTTTTTATCCCTCCACATTCAGAATCGACATCACGCGTTTAAGAGTATTCGATTGCTCGACATTTCCACGTGATAAGCCACTTAGCTGAGCTATCATTTGTGGCCAGGTCGCATCTGAAAAAGAACTACGCAGCTCAGTGGGCCTTAACCGGTCAAATAAACACGATTTATTTTTCAATAGTTCTATATGTGTTGCCTGACAGCACGTGCGCCAGCAGTCTTGTGTAGGCTACCCGGGTGATCTTTGCCTTTGTGCGCGCCGCTTGCTGTGTTCGATGCGCGGCGGGTAAATCTCCGAAGTCACGTGGCCGCTACAATCACAAGGAGGAGGAGGCGCGTGCCGTCACACCGAACACCCCTGGCGCGCCATGTGTTTCAAGCCCTCTGGAAGCTTGCGAACATACGGGCGATTCCACGTTAACGGGACTACGAGAACGACGCCAGGCGTATTAGAGACGGGTGGTGAAATGTCGGGGGGCGGGGGGGTTGTGTAACAGCGCCAAATAACTGCGATGCAAGAACGTTTGGAAAAACGCTTTGAAATCTCAAATGGTGCTCGCGTGTGACAACGTTGCGAGTGTCAATGTCTGCGCCGCGTTTCCCTAATTCCGATGCCGTGGCATCGGGCGCGTTGAGAGCATTGGGTTCGCGAACGAGGCATCAGCCCGCTGATTGAAAGGAGGGTTCTTCAGCTCACGGCACGCACGGTCCGAGGGCGTAATTTCTCAGCGAACGTCTTCTCGGTGGTTCGCAGGCTTGAGTAAGGCATGCGAGAGTATCTTCTTGGTTTTTTCGGTAAAGTCACGTAGAAGAGAAGTAATAAAATAATAAAAATAAAACACAACGCAAGCAGCCGTCTTCAGGTGGAGAACAGGTCTGTCGAGAAGGCAGAGTCTGCAGAGTCTGCCTTCTCGACAAACCTGTTCTCCACCTGAAGACGACTGCTTGCGTTGTGGCCGAAACGTCGTGAGAATTATTTTGTTATGTTTTATTTGTATTATTTTATTACTTCCCTTCTACGTGACTTTACCGAAATAACCAAGAAGATGAATCCCTGCAGTCACGAAAGCTTTAAATCGAAAAATCATGTGAGAGTAGTCCCCACGGCCGTCGCGATGTGTTGTGCCGGACGGGGAGATTGTTTGCGGAGGCGGTGGAAGGGTGAATCTTTCCAACCCTAGCGTGCGGTTATATCCATTCTGCAGATTTTCGATTTAGCGCAACTGCACACCGTACAAGAATCAGCAGTCAGACTGGGCCAATATCATAATTATACGCCAAGACAAAAACCCATGGAACGCACGCAGTTACTGACGAACAAATCAAATCATGAGTGCATTTTGTAACTGTGCCTTGTATTGCAACGCAAGGGCACATGGTCCAACACCATGTGAGACTAGGCTCTAAGGAAAGCTGTCTCGGGTGTGGACCAATCAACTTCAAAGACAGTGCATATTATTATCAGAGTTATGTTTTTTTTGCATTATGACTGCAGGTATTGTGGTCTATGCAAACATGACTCCTTGTAAAAAAAGGTGTCAGTTTTGTTGCCAGATAAAAGGGTAAAAAAAACAATTATCAATTATCCTATAGCACATGGTTCGATCTGCGGTAGTTTAGCCATAGGTGGGCGATGTTTGCTTTCGTATTTCCTCAAGTTCGGTTCGGCAAATTTGTATCGTGACGCCGGCAAAAACCACGTGGCCAATCTTTTTTTGGTTTGTTTGTTTGTTAAGTTCTCGAATTGCATCAACTTGGTGTTTGAACGCGCGCTGTGGAGCAGACGGTGGCGCGCGTTTACGGTCGATACAAATTTTGCGAGATTTGTCCGAACCATGACTGCCGTGGGGTGTTTCAAGCCTCGAAACCCCCAACGACGAAGCCCTCGCTTGGATCAACGTCGCCACCCCCCCCCCCCCCCCCGGTACGTAACGTTCGAATCCCCAGCGTTGCCTCGCGAAAAAGTAATGAATGCTTATTGATAAAATGGCAAGAGGGGTGGTGGGTTTTTTGTTGTTGTAAAGTAAACCAAAAAATATTTTTTTCTTCGTTTGCCAAGGTATTTTTTTTCTCTCTCTCTCTCTCTCATTATTCCTCGAAAGAAAATGTTTTTTCGCAAAGAAGATAAGATCTGTCGCCGTATTTGAAGGGATTGATCCGCAGGCCCTTTATGTCATCCTCTATTTCGCAGGCGGAAAAGGCACAATAAGATCTCCTGGGGTGAGCTCGCGACGCTTCATTGTTTCATGTGACCCGCGCTAACTTTCCCCGCCTTGAGCGGCAGTGCAAATATTATTCAACGAGCAAAAATATATTTATTTTTGGGGAGGGGGGGGGGGTAAGTTTTTTGACGTGACATACAATCCGCACTGATTCCTGCCACTCGAGACATTTATTGTTCTTCAAACAAAAGTAAAATCATCTCTCTCTCGCTCTGTAAAAAAAAAATAGAGAAGAACAAGCGATTTATAGGAAAGACAGACAGAGAGCGAGCATCCCGTGTGTGTGTGTGTTCCTGCTGTACCCTACGTTGGCGCGTTCTGCGATGGGAGCGCAGAGGCTTTTTGCCGCAACTGTGCAGCATCTGCTAAACGCAAAGCATCTGAGAGATATGCCCTTTACGGAATCGCTTTGAATGTTCGTGCTGTATATATGTTAATGGCGGGCGTAGGAGGAAATGCACACGTCGGAGCGAAATATAAATCAGTTGTGGCTATTGGCGGTGAAATTTTTCGTATTTATTTTATGCAAGGAGTATACAGTTGATCATCGATTATCCGGCAATGCGCGATTTTCTGTACTCCAACATTATCCGGCGTTCCCGGACCGGCAAAACCGCTCCAAAGGCTGTACCCAGTCCGGCTTTTGGCACCGTATGCGTGACAAAAAAAATAGCTGCGCTTGATTTCAACGTCAAATATTATATAGAGTACATCCTGCACTACATATAACTTAAACAATGAAAATACCGCACGTATATGCACATTGCCCCATGCAGAATATTCGAGATTGGAGTGGAACGTACAGTACATACAGTCACTTTTAAAAGGCTATTTAATGTATATTTGTATGATGATGTGTGCCATTTAAACGAAATTGAAAACACGCAAAAAAAACATAATGTCATCCAAGAATGTGCAAAAACAATCTATTCTAAATCATGATGATTGGTGATTATCCGGCGTTTTCGAAAATTGGGCTTGCCCCCTCCATAGGCGCCGGATAATCGATTATCTCCTGTAGATGTGTAACACCGTTGGTGATCACAGACCCCAAACAAGGCCCAGAATAGTCCGCATATGTTTACTCTCAACCCTGCTCACCCCCATCACTTGGAGATCTGCCGCGCAGTTTCGATTTAAAGCTTTCGTGACTGCAGGGATTCATCTTCTTGGTTCTTTCGGTAAAGTCACGTAGAAGGGAAGTAATAAAATAATAAAAATAAAACATAACAAAATAATTCTCACGACGTTTCGGCCACAACGCAAGCAGCCGTCCTCAGGTGAAGACCAGGTCTGTCGGGGAGACAGCGTCTGAATGAAACACCACCAGACGCTGTCTCCCCGACAGACCTGGTCTTCACCTGAGGACGGCTGCTTGCGTTGTGGCCGAAACGTCGTGAGAATTATTTTATTATGTTTTATTTTTATTATTTTATTACTTCCCTTCTACGTGACTTTGCCGTGCAGTGTTTCGATCTTGCAGAGCTCACTCTCCAATAGCTTTAGTTTGAACTCTAGGCTCGCCCCCAGCCCATTGTTTCGAGCCAACAGCTTCACTTTGAACTCCATGACCACCTCCTAGCCCATGCCCCCTCCCCCACACTCACCCTGCCCCCCCGCAGCTATATAATACCTCGTCACAGCCATCTCTTAGGCATAATTCAGCGATTGTTTTTTCGCTGTTTGTCCCCACCTGAGGACGAACGCTTGTGTTGCGCCCGAAAAGGTCGTGACTTAATTGAGTTGTTTTCATTTTATTTTATTTTTACCTACGTGGCTTTACCGAAAAAAAAACAAAGAGTATGGATCCTTGCAGTCACGAAAACTTCAAATCTAGAATTAAGTTACGAAGTGACATATAAATAAAACATATACGGACAAATTTGCAAAAGCATCCAATTTCCTGCCTATGTTTCAACAAGAAATGCAAAGCTTGGGAAAGGCAGTAAAATCAACAAAAACAACAGTCCCAGACCACGGCAGGACAACGCACAATCCCCCAATAGAATTGCAACGTTCAAAAGTGTCTGGACAGAGTGCGAGGTGTCGATGAGACGACGCGATCAAGTTTGGTCAACCGGGGGTTTGGGTCCATCGCATGGGAGTAAGAGTCAATGAGTGAAGTTCACGCGAATAATCACACGTCACTTAATGAGAGCACAGCTACTGCTTGGTATCCCTCCGTCGTCGGCCAATGCCTCCTTCTGTTTTTTGTCTACTTGGCAGCCAAGAAAATATGCCAAGCACACATTTGGCACAAAATCACGCACACATCTGTTTGGCACTGTAATCACACGAGCTCATGTTGGTCTCTGGCTCAACAGCTGCCGGATTACAGTGGGCATTTATGATAGAGATGATGAGTGTGTTAATG